CACTCCGTCCAATGGATTTATGGACACATCCAGTTGAAGTAGCTCAATTTATATATTATAGTTTTAATTATAGTTTTAGCTGATACAACAACAACATATTTTAGAAGACATTAAAATTCTGTGGAAGGGTAGTAGTCAGATGTATCGATACTTTAAAAGACCAATCTCCCGAAACGAGCTACGAGCTTGCAGGGAGTCATTCCTATTAATTTTCCTATGGAAACAAATTGACATGATGGTCATTTAAGAACAACATGTAGTCCATGTATAATTCGGAACAAATCTTAATTTATGGCAATCTTAGTCTACTTAAATTTACGACGTTAAATATTCAGGAGTTAGTGGATAAACGGCTGTACGGTGGCGGTACAGATGGTGACTGGTAGACGGACTTTAATTTTTATTAAAGGAACAGAAAATAAATAGCAATAACTTTGACGAAATCTCTCAGTTAGGGTGAAGATTTCTACTCCAGCTACGATTTGTCGATTGTCGGCTAAAGAGAATTCGGCGGCAATAAGAATATAATCGGCAATTCAACAGGAGCTCTATATGAATGCGGAAGGTCTTGATTTCGTCTAAGAATATAGTCGGGAAATTTACACGCGATTAAGAAGTATTCGGGAGCTCTTGATCTCGAATAAAATACAAATGTAAAAAAACCTGGTAAACTATGTACACTAAGTCAAGAAGAATACGGGAGCTTCTGATTTCGGCTAGGTGTACGAATAAAATACATTCAGCGAAACTGCACGAAATCAAGAAGAACTCGGGAATTCTTAATTTCGTATGGACTACAATATAGTCGGACCTACATCAGTGAGTAGTATTAAAAAAAATTGGATTATTTTTAAGAATAAAGCATTTAAGTTGGTTTTTGCCTTAATTTCCAAATAAAAAATTATTTTCCGATAGAGGTGTTTACGGGGGAAAGGGTAGATTTAAGCTTATAAATGTTTGTAGAAGGTTTTACATTAACATTGTGCAAATTTCACCATGATACTAGTATTTGTATTATTATTCAAGTCATTTTCTGAAGGGACTCTGTATGGGCTCTAGAGTTAAATGAGGACGGTCAATAAGAAAATATGCAGTATTTTTAGACTTATTCTATATAAGACCAGTACCAGACTACAAAAGATAGGCAGGACAATCATTGGTCAAGAAATGGACTACATAGTACGTGTATTGAATTTTAATAGATTGTTTAATACCGACAAGTAGTGATTGGGCCGCGAACACTGTCCTAAGTGATGACATGATCTCAACCTATACTGATGATTCAACGACAGAAAGAGGCACTGACTCTTGAATTTTCTCCGAAAAACTGGATCTTATGTTGTCTCTTCGACAACCTGACATCGGCACTGTTCTTTAGGCAGAGATATATGCCAACGATACGGTCCCGAGAAAAATCCGGGAACTGAATCTTGAAAATTTCACTATACATATTTACTTGTACATCCTGGCATCAATCAAGGCTCTTAATTTCAACGTTATTAAGTCGAAATGTTTTCTCAATTGTATCCAATCTTTGGCACAACTGACACAACATCACATTGAGTTGATATGGATTCCAGGACATGAGGACATCCGGGGAAATTAAATATCTAATGAATGCGCAACGTAAGGGTCGTCCCTAGACTCTTGCGCATTCCTTTGGTGACCATATCGAAATTAATGGATGACTGGGCTTTAAGTAAGACGGAACTCAGGTGTTCAAATATCACCACTTGTAGAATATCAAGACTACTCTGACAAAGGATAGGACTAGGACTCTCTTGTCTTTTAGTAAGAACACGATTATTATTACTGGGTACTTTATGATTGAACATATGTCGGAACGAATAGAACTGTAGAAGTTGTTTGAATGAGTAAGAAAGGAAATCGATGCAACACCTTTTATGTGACACCTTACAAGAGCTCATACTACTCTATCTTGGTAGATCTCTTTTCCATAATCTGTCTCAGAGTTAATATGATCGGATTTATTAGAAATGCCGGCGGGTTTTCACGGGGAAAGCAGAAAACACATAGGTAACGAAATTAGGTAGGGAAACCATTATCTATATATATATAAAAGAGTAGCGTTACTGACTGACTGATTCATAATCGCACAGCCCAAACGTCTGAACCTAGAATCATGAAATTTTTAAAGTGGATGATCCACTAAGGAGGGATTTTTGGAAATTTGTATATTTACGGTTAAAAAGGGGAAAAAAACGGGTAAACCAGGGTTTCTTAATTATCTTACACAATATTAGTGATACAAGAAAAATTTTAAATGCACCTGTATCTACTCTTAAAATGAGCAGATGGGTGTCTGGCACTTTTTTGAAATTCGTACTTTTAAGGGGCAAAAATGTGTAATAAAGATGATTTTGGTACCTTTTTTGGCCCTTTATAACTTTTGAAATAATTAACATAATCAAATTTTTATAAATATTTTGGATACATCTCCCAAAATTATTGTTTCGTACTTTTTTAAAATTCAGTCCTTTTTGGGTGTAAAAGGGAGAAAACTGTATTTATGGTACTTTTTTAGCACATTAAGAAAACTTTTTCGGTTTATTGAATTATTCCTATTAAATTACGGACTAACTCTGTAATATTTATTGTAATAAAATTTTTGCTATTTCACTGGGGAAAAAAGTACCAAAATGGGAAAAAACGGGAAATTTAATTTTATTCAAACTCATTGAGCCAATTTTTATAAAATTTGAAAAAGTAGTTTATTTACTCACACAAAATAAGCTATTGGTATATTATTTTAGAATTCGAGTACGAAGTAGTGCTGTAACATTCTACTACTTTTCACTACTCGATACTACTCAATACTTTTCATTTGGGTACTCAATACTACTCGATACTTTTTATACCCTAAATATAAAATATTAAGTTCTCTTCAATTCCCTATATACGCGTAAATGTCCTGAACTATATATAATTTCTCAAACAAAATTCAGTACATTAACATGAATCGTTTGGGAGGTATTCCAAAAAAGTTGTCCTTTCCCATATAATGCCATACAACGAAATTAGGAACAACATTGTTTGAATTTACTCTACCACATTTGCTCCAAGACTTCATAAACAAACTCTCTATGAATTTTATTAATGAAGATTAATCCAATCTCATAGTTGGTGTAGGGTATCATATGGTCGGGCATGCCCGACTATAATTTCTCACTTGTTAAAATTTAAAAACGTGGTATTTTTCTGTTTATTCGCTTTTTATTATAAAAAATAAATAAATTAGAAAAGTTAACTTTTATTTCAACGTTAACGAATTAAAAAAATAAATTAATTTAAAAATTTGTACTCTGAGTGTGTGCCAAACGTAACATTCTACTAGTAACAATTTACTACAAAAAGTAAATGTTTGACATTTATGCATTAATACAATTTCACTAGCTCATTGGTCTACATATATTTTTGACAAATAAAATAAAAATTTTGAGAACTAAAAAATAAATAATTCAAATTAATATATAAATTCAAAATTTGTTCTAGAATTATATGTAAAAAATCAATATAGCATACACAAAGTGAATGTGGTGTATGTCACAATTTACTTTAGGTAAGAGAGATTTCATTTGGCACGGAAGAATTGAAAATTTTCCTCACCATAAGAAAGATTGGATTGAAGAAGCTTTGTGTTTGTTAGAAATCATTGAAATGTAAAAATAATAATTTTTCAACATTTTCACTTTTTAGTGAATTGCGCCTTTCTGTCAGGATCTGACCAGCTTTTGAAAACACTCTTTCACTAGGGACTGACGTTGCCACAATGGCCAAATATTTGTTAGCAAGTTTAGCTAAAAAGGGATATTTATTTTCATTAATTTTCCACCATTCCAAAGGGCACTTTTTTCTTTCAAGTGTGGGCTCATTTATATATTTTTCCAATTCAGCACATGCTTTTTTGATATTATTCTTATTTGCATTTGATTCTTTGTCAAAGTCATCCCAAATAGATTTTTCACTTAAAACCTCCTCCAATAAATTGTCTAATTCAATTTCTTCATGTGTGTCCATCTCTTCCAAAAGGATATTAATTTTAGATTTACAAATATTTAAAGCATTTTCATCAGTAAATGATTTTAATTTGAATCGAGGATCTAGAAAGCTTGAAACTGAATATATTTCATTAGTTTCACACATATGAAAACGTCTGTTTATATTTGCGGAAAGCTTTTCTATGAATATTTTACATTTCTCATTTGATTCGCCGCTTTTTGTTTTTATTAAAAAAGACTGCAATCTTTGTATCATAATCAGAACCTTAGAAATTGTTGTGTATGTTTCACCACTCATTTCGATGGTAATTTCATTAAACGGTTGTAGAATAATTATTATTCTTTTAATTATACACCACTCTTCTAAAGAAGGTAGTATGGTAGGATTATGTAAAATTGCTACAGCAGCTTCTAACGGTTCTTGGTTTTTCACAAATCTTTCTAGCATGTGCAATGTGGAGTTCCATCTTGTTGGAGTGGAATTTATCATTTTTAAATCAGTTTTCCCCATTTGATTTTGAATTTCTTTCAACTTATTACTGGCTTTCGTACTTCGATGAAAGTATTCCACAGCGACTTTACACTTCACTATAATTTCATTTATTTCACTAATTTTTAATGCATCCGTCACCACTAAATGCAGGTTGTGTGCCAGGCACGATAAATGAGTCCAATCAGTCTTTTTAATAGCAGCTACTATATTGGCAGCATTATCCGATAGAACACAAGTAATTTTTGAATCCATACCCCATTCTTGTAATACTTGGCAAATTTCATCTTTAAGATTTTGAGCCGTATGATCTTTCATTGTTTTAAAACAACTTATAAAGACCGTTTTTTGTTTCCAGTCAGGAGAAATGAAGTGGGCAGTAATTGAAATGTAGGATTCATTTGATATAGATGTCCACCCATCGGTTGTTATACATATGTTATCAATGTCTCTTAACATATGTTTAACTTCCAATAAACGCTTATCATAAACTTTTGGCAATAAAGACTTTGTAAGAGTGATTCGGTTGGGCAATTTGTAATCTGGATTTAAAGCTTTTGTAAATTCTTGAAATCCAATATTTTCAACAATTGATAAGGGCCGGAGATCAATGGTAATCATCTGCAAGAGTGCATTATGTATTTTCTCTTCCATTGCTTTGGACATACGGATTCTTATATTGTAATCATCAAGTTTCATTTGTTTGTTGCTAGTAGATGGTGTTTCTAAAAAATATTTCATATGAACTCAGATTCCAAAAAATGGTTTGGCCAAATCTTACCGTCATCAGAATCTTCATGATGATTTCTAACTTTTTTAAGTGAAACAGTTGGATGTTGCGAATATAAGTGCTTCCGCAGATTTGAGGATCCTCCACCTACAAAGTAATCAAAATAATGAATGCTTTTTTGGTAGACACAACCTTACCTTTATAGGAGATAACTCTTTTACAAATGTTGCACTTAGCACTTTCTGAATTTATTTCGGTAAAATGAGACCAGACATCGCTCCTCTTCTGCGACATTTTAATTTTTTGTATAAATTGTTTTTATTTTTTAAGTTTTTTTACAAGTTTCTTTACAAATTTTTATTTTGATTTGACATTTTTTTTGTTAAAAAAAATTGTATATTTAGCAGAGTTGCATTTTTATACTATAGCCGTTAAATTTAAACAGATTATGTTGTACTTATTTAACTCAAAAGTATTGAGTAGTTACCTTTTAGTATTGAGTACCCAAAAATTAAGGTAAATACTCGATACTCGATACCCACTACTCAATACTTTAACAGCACTAGTACGAAGTCCTATATAGGACCAAATTCGATAAATTGTTTGGTACTTTTTGAAGGCACTATTTTTCTGGAACAAATGAATGCAGATTTGAATCGTTTGAATTTTATCTGTGATATATAGATTTAAATACGGAACATTTTGTAAACTTAATTCTCGAAGAAGTATATTTCTAAGCGAAAAGGGGAAACATTGTACTCTTTTTATAAGTACTTTCCACTTAGGTAAATTTTATTCCACTTTTGGTAGTTTTTCTTCCTTCAAATGATACTCTATGTATGTTCTTTAATATGAACTCAAAACACATGATTATTAAACATACACGGTCCTCATTAAATAAGATTCTTTAAGAGACAACTTTTTAGTACTTTTTATCTCATAAATTGTACTTTTTTAATTTTCTAAAATATTCAACCTAGGAATATTAATTTTAACATACATGGTCTTGACTGAATAATATTCTGTAAGTGGGAACTATTTGGTACTTTTCTATTCTTCAAATGGTACCTTTTAGATTCTTTATAATGGTTAACCGGAACACACGGTCCTTATTAAATGAGAATTTATTGAGAGAGATTTTTGTACTTTTTCGTTTTTCCGATGGTACTTTTTGATATTTTTGCGATATTGAACATAGATATTGAAAATAAAATTTAAAATGTAGGGACCTTAGTGAATGAGTATCTACTGAAAGGGACTTTTGGTACTTTTTCATTTATCAAATTATAGTTTTTAATTGTATATAATATTGAACACAGAAACATAAAATTTTTTATTAAATGATGATCTATTAGAGGTATTTTATGGTACTTTTTTTCAAATATTACTTTCAAAATTTTCTATAATGTGGAAGCTAAATGAATGAAACTAAAAATACAAGCTTCTTACTGAATGCGAATTTAATCACGTGATATTGAACGTATAAAACTGAAACATTAAAAAAATGTTTAATCTATTTTGATTTTCTATAAAAGTAAACAAAATTTTGAATGTATTTAATTTAAGTTAGGGTAGCGAAGCACCCAGGGTATGCTAGTATTTTATGTATAAGCTCTCAACATAAGTGAATGGTAATTCTAAGGGTATCACAACTTACTAACTAGCGAGCAGCCCACATAACCTAACCTAACCTTTCTTATTGTAAATAACGTCGAAACAATAATAAAGCAGTTATAAACTTTAAAGATAAGAAAGGAAATCAAAATAACGATTTTTTAGGAGTCACGTTATTATCGTCAAATATTTGATAGGTGTGAATATAGTTTCCCAAATAATAAAACCATTTTTTTTAATTCTCATTCAAATTAAAAATTTGAAACATTTATTAAAATTGTTTTAAAATTTTATTCTATAATAAAAATATGCATAGTATGTGTGTGTGTGTGTAGGTGTTTGTAGAGGAAGTGTAGGTGCGCGTATATTAGAAATGTATTATTAGATATTTTGAAAAAAATAAAATTAACTTGATTTTTTTAATGGCTTTCATTCAAACTATTTATTTAAACATACGAATACATTTACAAATTTATTATAATTTACAATATACATACATAAGGGGTATAATTAAAATTATACTAAAAAAAACAATATTTATTATTTAAAGATAAATATTACACAGACATACAGAGTAGTAGACATTTTGCAAATACTATACATCTTCAACATTTTTTTAAATGTTGAAGAAGTATAGGGAGAAGGTGAAGTTGGAAAAAAAACGCTTACATGGGGGGGGGATGGTTAGGTAAAAGGAGAATAGGAGTTGTTAATTATAAAATTAAGTGGAAACACTAAGATATTAGGGTTTTGAGTATTATCAAGAATGAAATTATAAAAGTGTTACAAAATGAGATTTTCTTTTTTTTTTGTAAGAATAGAGATTGTGTTTTGAGATTAAATGTTAATATAACAAAATTCTTTCTTCTTTTTTTTGAGGGGGGAAAAGGCAGTTGTTTTTTTTAATTAAGTGTTTAATTTATGGTAATTTAAGCGTTTTTTTTAATGAGTGTGTTTAATTTTTTTTGGGATTTTTTTTTTGTTTTAAATAATGAAGCCATGAAGCGTTTGAGTTACATATGTATATTTTTCGTATATTTTTTTTTTCTATATATTGTGGGAAATTGTTTGCTATAAAAATTATAGTAAATTGTACTTTTCTTTGATATGGCAGTTGTTTAGAATTTTTATTTCATTCCTATAAATTATTTACTATTTGAATTTGTTTTTTTTTTTTTAATATTTTCTATAAACCAAAACATATTTTATGGTTATATTCATGGCTCTTAATTACATAATTTTTTTTTATAATTATTATAAAAAAAAGAAATACTTTTAATTGTCACTTTCTTCTTAAATATACTAAATTATTTGTTTTCTTTTTTTTTTAATAAAAATTTCTTTGAACACAGATTAATTCGTTAGTATAGAAATTTCAAAATTATTTTTTAAAAAATAATTAAAATTAATACTTGTTTTTTTTTAATTATCAAGAAATTATTTTTTTATACACTAGACTGTCTGCAATTTTTGAAAGAATTTATTTAAATCAGTTTATGAATTTTTTAAAACTATTTTCCAAAAAGGTACTTTTTTGAAATTTTTTTGAAATCAATTTTTTGAAAAATGTTAATGTTCTAAAAACTTTTTAAAAAGTCTTAAAACTGAAAATTTAATGGTTTTTGGCAAAACTACTTTTCTTCAAAAAGTACTTTTCAAAAGAGTACTTTTTTGCAAAACAGTTTGCTTGAAGTAGCATCCGCCAAAACTAATTTTATCAAGAATTTTAGCTAAAATACTTTTAGCGAAAACAACTTTTTTCCGAAAAGTACTTTACAAAAAAGTACTTTTTTATAAAACTGTTTGATTCTCAAGCAATTTTTTTGAATTTCAGCAAAAATATTAAATAAGTTTTATAAAAATCTCGTAAAAATGTTATAACAACCTTTAAAAAGTCTTAAAACTGAAATTCAAGTGTTTTTGCACAAAAGTACTATTTCTCAAAAAGTACTTTTCAAAAGGTACTTTTTCAAATAAAAGTACTTTTTTTAAACAATTTGTTTTTTAGCAAGAATTTTAGCAAAAAAAACTTTTTCCAAAAATTACTTTACAAAAAGGTACTTTTTTATAAAACTGTTTGATTCTCAAGCAAATTTTTTGAATTTAAAAAAGTACTTTTACGGGTTTTTTTTATCAAGTATTTTAACAAAAATACTTTTAGCTAAAAATACTTTTTTTCTAAAAAGCACTTTAAAAAAGTACTTTTTTAGAAAACTGTTTGATTTTTGGAATTTTTGTGTTTTTTTGACAAAAGTTTAGTGTACTTTTCAAAAGGTACTTTTTCCGAAAAAGTACTTTTTTCCAAACGGTTTGTTTTTTATCAAGAATTTTAACAAAAATATTTTTAGCAAAAAAAAACTTTTTTTCAAAAAGTACTTAAAAAAGTACTTTTTTAGAAAACTGTTTGAATTTTAGTAAAAATATTAAATAGATTTTATAAAAATTTTTCCAAAAAACTTTAAAAAAGTCTTAAAACTGAAATTTAAGAGTTTTCTGAAAAAAAGTTTTTGTTTCCAAAAAGTACTTTTTAAAAGGTAGTTTTTCCGAAAAAAGTACTTTTTTCAAAACGTTTTGTTCTTTATCAAGAATTTTAACAAAAATATTTTTAGCAAGAAAAAAAATTTGCAAAAAGTATTTTACAAAAAGGTACTTTTTAGAAAAAGGCAAAATTTTTTTAAAATTGTAAATCAATAAATTTTTTTGAATTTTAGCAAACATTTTAAAAAAATCTCTGTAAAAATGTTATAAAAACTTTTTAAAAAGTTTTAAAACTGAAATATAAGAAATTTTAACAAAAAGTACTTTTCAAAAGATACTTTTTTAATTTTTTTGTTTGAATTTTAGCAAAAATATTAAATAAATTTTATAAAAAAAATTTCCAAAAATGTTTCAAAAACGTTTTAAAAAGATTAACAACTGAAACTTAAGAGTTTTTTGACAAAAGTTTTTGTTTCTAAAAAGTACTTTTTAAAAGGTACTTTTTCAAAAAAGTACTTTTTTTTCGAAATTAATTGTTTTAAGCAGGAGAACTTAAAGAAACAATAATTTTACCAATTCTATTAAAAATATTTAATAAATTTGCAAAAAATTAAAAATTTATAAAAAAGAGCTTTAAAAGCATTTTTAAAATTATATGTTTAAAAAGGTACTTTTATACAAAAAATTTTAAATGATTTTTGCTAAAAAACTTTAATTTCCTGTAAAACATACAAAAGTTTAAAAAAAGTTCCTTTTTGAATTTGCTTTAAAGTTACTTTTCACATAATTTTTCGCTCTTTTTTCAGCACAAACTGATTTAAATTCTCTTCCTTTTTCCGAGACAGTCTAATGTGTTTATAAATTTGTTATTTTTTTTTAATTATTATTACAATTAAACAATATAAATGTATTTAGCTAAATATTTAAATAAAAAAAATATTTATTTTTAAGTTAAAAGTAAAATTAATATTAAGATTAAAAGTAAAATAATATAAATATATAAAAGTTGATAAAATTCAACTTTAAAGGTGTTTTAAAAATACAAAATAAATTAAAGTTAGAGATGAAAAAAGAGTTCGCTTAAACACTCTTACTAAATCTCGCTCTTTTGCTTAAGAGTTAGAGTTATGGTTACGGTAAATGAGTAAAAATTGCTCTTCGTTTTATTGCTGCTTAGTGGTTGCTTTCAATATAGTTGCCATTTTGCTAAATTATTGCTTGCTAGTTTGTTTTAGCGTTTTTTAGCAGGATTTTTTTTTTAGAAATCTTGTTATTATTTTTCTATAAGTCTCTTAGTTCTTTTTTTCCAACAAAAAAACCCAAAAAGTTCAGAGCCTTATATTTCTTTTAGTATAATATTTCTAGGCCTTTTAAACTCATTTTTTTAAGTTCGTTTTTGTTTTCATATTTTTGGATTAAATCACATTTATATATATATATATTTTTTTTGAAATTTCTTTTCGTGGTAGTTTGTGTACTTGAGAGTGTTTAATAAAAGTGTGTTGTGTTGTTTTTGTTGATATTTTTTTTGTTTTCATCAAAAATCCCTAAAAGTCTTTGGCATTACAAGGATTTCTCTCTTTTTCTCAGTTTAAAAGTGGTTGTGGGTGTGTTTGTGTTAATAAGAGTTTTGTGTTATAAAAAGTATTAAACTATAAAAGAATCCTTACAAAAGACCAAAAGGAACTTTTTGTTATCAAGGAATAAATGCATAAAATACAATTTCGACAACGTTTTTCATGGTTGGTTGTGGCGCCAAAGCGCAAAAAACAGGTCGAAAACAGCAGTTTTAGCACCAAAACAAATACAAAATTTGTAAAAGAAAACCGCCTTTTTGAGAGGCTGAGTTTTTGTCAACGGCAGACTTGGCATCACACGTTTAAGTAGAGGGCAGAATTGGAACCTATTCGACAGCCACCACACCAGCCGCCACATAAAGCACGATGAGATATTAAGGAATTCTGCAAAAAACCAAAAAAAAAAAAAAATACCAACAAAATTAATAAAAATAATTTTAATACCTTAAAGAACCACTTACCGAGGGTGACTCTTTCATAACCACATGATGACCTATGGGTTCCCATATAGTACCATGTCTCAGTCTAAAACCAGTATGTTCTAAATTTATCGAAAAACCCCCCTGAGGACATTGTTTACGCCGATTGTAACAGTCACCCGCCGAACCATATGGCTGCGGTCTTCCTATGCTCTCGGCAAAGGTGAAATCACTTTCAAATACCCTTAAGGTGGCAATATCAATGCGTATTTTCTTAAACGTTGTACGTCCCGAATCTAAAGTATCATCACGATATTCACGATGCACTGAATCGGGTGGACACAAGTCGGGGTTGGTTATCTTATAATCGTAATAAATCGAATAATTTTCCGTAGAATTTAAGGTAACAAATTCTTGTGGTGAGTTATGCATATTATGACAGTATATTCTCTTGGGTACACTTCTCACATAGATCGTATATTCACCATCGGCATAGACATTATGGAAGCGGCGCAAATCATAACATGATGAGGGATAACATGTGCGTGGTGGCGGACATTTTTCTCGTATAATCTTGTCTTTGGTGGGGCAAGGTATCCGTTCACGTCTGGAATCGTAGCATAGCATACGTCGTCGCCGATAACCTTCACAGTTACACTGGGGAAATTAAAATTTTCATTAAAATGTGTTTTGTTTAAAGGGTTCAATTTATAAGATTGTTTTTTTACTACATTCGAGAAGCTAAAAGCTATAAATTACAGCGTAGTTTGACAGCTAAGTTTGGAAATGATACTAATCTAGTCACTAAAACATTAACTACTTAATATAGTACAGTAGGAAAAAAAACATTCACATGTGTGGGATTGTAGAGGGTTTATGTACTGAAACAAGCACTGAAAAAAGTGTAGATCATCTGTGTAGTTTACAAGTTCAAAAGTTTTTTAAAAAATTTCTTAAAATGTTTCATTATAAATTCCTCTTTATTGGAGTCCTGCAAGATCTATTTTGGCCCAACAAATCATTGTGTAATTCAACTAGACTTTAAGTCTATCTAATACGTTCTCTTTTTCTGATCTTAAAAAAGATCAGAAGCTGAATTACCGCATAAATTATCGAAGAAGCTATCGTATATAAAATCCATTTCGATATCAAAATTAAGCTAAAATTTTCTAGATTTCTTGATCGCTATAGAATGCCAACCTCTTGAAATGGATAAATACGATCAGTTTTGCACGATCACGTATCCGTTGATAAGAAAAAAGTAATATTTTAAGAGAAAAGCAAGAAAAACCTCTTGGTCTATATATCATCGGTAAAGATTTTAGCTGAACCATGAAAGCTGAAATTAAAAAATCCAGTTCCGTTTGAATATAATATATCCTACATTTTCGGAGGTTGGCCTCTGATATCGGTGCTATTATGAACTGATCTTTAAAAAAATGCTAAAATATAATTTTTCTTGATTTCAAATTTAATCTTTTTTGAGATCTATGCTCAATTATGGACCGACTGTGAATAAGCCTAAAACTTATAAGGGCTTTGGCCAATAATGGACACAGGGCAACAATTTTTTTAAAAAGTCGAAAAGTACTAAAGTTTGAAATTGGGTAATTTTTGATACGAAGAATCTGTTATTTATAAAATCAGTTATTATATCTGAAAGTAGAATCTATGGATATTTAACTGAAGTTTTGATATCTGTTATATCTTCTTCTTTCTTCGAGATATCTTATTTTTATTTTAATACATAAATATTTTAACAATTTGTTGTATGGGGGCAGTTGGTTAATATGGGTCTATCCTTATAAATTTTGATAGGGGGACATTAAAGTTATTTCTGTGAATTTTCACCTTCAAGTTATTTTCTGAAGGGGACTTTCTATAGAGGCTAGGGTCAAATGAGGCCCCATCGTTAAGAAAACTATAAAACTAAGATTTGCCGATTTTTGTAGAGATTCTACTACATTAAACATAATTATAAGATCAAAAGCCCTATTCGGGGGGTACGGTTGTGTAGGGGCTTGGACCGACTTTAACCATTTTCAATAGGCTTCTTCCTTGAAAGAATAGCATGTAGCAAATGTCATCAAATTATCTTGAAAATTGCGGCCTGAAGGGTACGCTTAATCGACTCAGAAAGTGATTCTGAACCGATTGGTATACTTTAAGGTGGGTGTAGGATCAATATTTTTGGGTGTTACAAACATCAGCACTAACGCATAATATAAAAACCCAATATTGCCTTTGTTTTGAAGCATAATTTATAACGGACCATATATGTATATATGTTTATATGAGAGCCATGCCTAAATATGAACCGATCCGAGAAAAGTGTTTTATTTGGCGTTATAAATGTTTTATATTTCAAAAGATGTATGTCGATATCCATTTATATACATTTGAGGGGGCATAATGTACCGATTCCAATCCATTAGAAACATTTGCTTAATCCTTACTACAAAGGCCGACAAATTCGTAATCCAGATTCTAAAGTATACTTTTCTAAAGAATTGATTCTAGATATCGTGTTCTGCCCATTTTTGTTTGAAAACTAGTTTCGAAGGTAAAGATTAAAAAAAAACTAATCGGTAAAAGAATTGGATTTTGAATAGTTATATAGAAATACAAGCGACTCCATAATAAGTCGCTAAGTATAGAAAGGTGAAAATGCACTAGATAAAGTACGGGTATATGTAATCGTACCAGAATTCAATTTGAAAATATAATAGGCCTACAACATGTGTTCATTAGAGAGTTCTTTCCGATAACTGATCTACATAAAGTGTATCTTAAGACTAGGCTAATCAGTCTTTTTATTTATAAAAGTAATAAATATACAATAACACTTATAAATTAAATAAATTATTATAAAAAAATAAAAATTTCTAATACATATATCTTAAAAAAACCCGCCCCCTTTTAACAGGAGTAAAAATTCTCCGAAAAAAACTTAGTTAAAGGGAACCCCTAATCGCTTTCAAATAATAAATAAAAGATCAATTTAAAAAAAAATAATTAAATAAAGCGTATAAAAAAGAGTATGTAGTATATAAAAAACAGGAATTAAAATTTCAAATTAATCTTCTCTTACACTGGACATAATTTTATATTCGCGTTTAACGCAATTATTGCAAATCTTTTTCACGGGCGGCTTATTCGCTGCATCACAGTACGTATGATTGATGGGATTACCCAAGACGGACTCACAGTAAACGGAACGTGACTGATACTCTTCACTGCAATCGGCCGGACATTGAGTCCAATTCGAAACGGACCATTTGCAACCCACTTTACAGGGTTTGTGCATGCGTTTGGGTTTCGGCATCTTTAAGTGGCGACAATAAGATGGATCAATGAATTCCCGACGTTTGGGGGCGCCCTTAATTTCTGGCTTATAGACACGGGCACAATGCATTTCCTTGCGTCGAGTGCCATTGCCGCATTGAACGGAACACTGGACGGATGTTGTATTGAGAAGTAGTACAAAGTATATGAATAGGGATTTTGTGTGTATTGGTGAAAATAGTAGTAGTAGTATAGTAGTGATGGGAAAAAAGTAATGATAGAGTAATTAGTAATATGATATTAAGTTTTATATTTATGTTCTTAAGAAATTGAATTAAATTTTACTATTATGTTGAAGTTAGGGATTATTAGGACTGAACTTACATTCGACCAATTGGATACATATTTAATGGTACAGCATTTTCTGCGGCTTATGGGCTTTTTGTCTAAAGGACAACCATAACCTTGGGGACTACGACAAATAACCGTACGATTCTTTTCACATTTGTCATCACATTTGCCCCAATCATGGGCCCACCAGTTGTTGGGTATATTACGGGCAGGTTTCTAAAAGTTGTTTTTGAACAAATTGTAAACGTGTATATAAAAAATATATAAGTGGTTCCACTTACCATTAAAGGAAATTCGGTAGTACTGGTGGTGGTAGAGGTAAAGGAAGAACAGGGCTCTAGATTACAGACTCGTGTAGTTTCCCGATAATTGGCTTTGTTTTTCAAATTACAATATTCATCTCTAACAAAAGTTTGATTCAAATAACAGGCCACACTACGAGTCTGTACTCCATAACCACAAGAACGGGAGCACTAAAAACAAAAATATATACCAATTAATATATATTTTTTAATAGATGTAACATTTTTCATCAACTTACCGTCATCCAATCCGTATATTTCCAACAACCTTCTCTACATTCCTCATGGGTTTTGATTTCGAATTTCGAACTACAATATTTCAAATCAACAATATTTGAACGCTGCATATCGGGAAATGTTTGTATGCAGTGATGCGTTTTTTCACGAGTACCCAACATGCCACACGAAGCCGAACATTCCGAAATACTGGTGACATTTAAACTATATCAAATATAGAACCAGAATGAAATCATTATTTTTTTATTATTATTTTGAAATCGTTTAAAACTTACGTTAAAATACAATCGGTATTACAATCTCTATATTCAGTGGGTGGTTTAGCATGTATATCACAGAATTGTGGGGCCACTTTTAGAGCTTGTGTAGTGCTAACACACACCGGCATACGATGCATGCTGCCGTGACACAAAGCATCACAAGTACTCCACTGTTGCATTTCCCAGCGATAGATTTCAATTTCAGGCTCCACATAATTCGTTTTATCGATGGTATAGGAGTAAGTCATCAGTAAAGTGTCATTATCCTTTTGTGAACTTGTGATCATGGAAATGATCTAAGCAAAAAAAATCGATATTATTGAAAATTTCCCCCAATAATATTGAAAATATTTTACCTCTACTATCATGTCACGTTTCAGTTTTCTGGTATAGGTGGTATTGACCCTTTCTACAAAACTTTTAGAACCATTATAGTCATAAGCTACACCTGCATAAAAGCTTACATTGGGAAAGGCGGTTATAATATTGGCTCCATTTAGTAATGAATTGCCTTGATCATCACGTAATACAATATAGTTTTCATCATGATAACCCGGCTGTTCGATCACTATATTAGAGGCACCTGAAAAAGAAGAGAAACAACAAATTCTTATTACAAAATTCACCAAAGTGAAATTACTATATGTTAACTTTTATTAAATACTGTATAAATTAAAAGATCATTGCTTATAGACATGATTAAAACAATACTACCTTTTTAACCTCAAACTAATCATATAGTTAATAGATTTGCTAATTTAAGTACCAGCAACAAGTGACAGCACTAAACAACAACTTAACTTTATGCATAATTAATTAATATTAAAATAATATTGTTAATAATAATAAAAAAACAACTGATCGAGTTGGCAATATTAAATAATCAAATAAATTAAATAGTAAACGACATGACTAAATCACTTCAAATGTCTATGAAGGCGCCAAATATTAAATTTAAATAAATAAATAAAAAACTAATAAAATGTTTAAAAATACACAACTAAACTTAAGAAACAAAAGTTCAAGTGTATACAACTGTCAATTTAAAACTAAATGTAGCGCCATATAAAACAATAACAACAATGACTAAAATAACAGCAGCAGCGTTAAAATGAACTGATAATGACAATAATGATAACAAGTAAGTAAGTACGATTACTAAAGGTGGGGGTACATTACCCTTTAATCAGACAGACAGACAGATACATTTAGAAATTTGTCTATGAATGAATTTTTCTTATTTCTATCTCAAATAGATGGAATACAGTGGGTTAGATGGGGACAAATACACATCTGTAATAAAATATTTTCAACAATAGTATCTAACATCCCAGCAAAAGTTTCATTACCAGACAAGGGCCTCAACCATAAGTCGCGTAGCATGAAACAATATGAATCCTGTTAAGATGACAACAGCATCGAAAATTTCCCTGAAGTAAAAGGTCTACTAAATCTGTACTAGTCTCCTGTCAGGCAAAGGAGTCTTTTCCGATCGTTCACCAACTACATCAGTTCCGTTCTCAGATCATAAAAAGACGATCTACGTAATGACAGGCAACTACCAAGTGACAACCTGAGAATTCTCCAACCTATGCTGGTGCCCTACCACGCGAAGAGTAAAAGATACTCAACGGGTTCAGGAATCCAGCATATGTTGCTCTGTCACATCACCAAGTGTCATCTGTTGAGATGGCAACAGCACCGGAGGGAAAATCCAGATATATATGTGATTGGATATATCAGTCCTTAAACCAATATTCTCTCTCAGAGATTTTGGGTTTAAACCACAACCACAACGTGGATCCCGAAGGAACCACAACCAACTGACCAGGCAGGACAAGTCAGCACCTTTTTGCTGAGCTCTTAATGGGTTTTAGTTTCGATTTTCGAATAAATCATGAATATTTTGATCGTTGCATATCGGTAAATGTTGGGTATAAGCGAAGCTATGAGTAACACATTGACCATATCTCTAGAAACATTGCTACATAATCCACCAATCGAAACGTACATATGTAAGATAAAGAGGCGTTGCTTGCAGCAGTGTATACTAAACATATTAGACTTTTGCACATAAACGTCAAACGTACCCGACCAGAAAGAGAAATCGTCGGAAATTGAGAGACTTCGAAGCTAAAAATATAACCATGTTCCATGAAACATTACAACTGACAGGGAATTAGTTGCTACAAGTACGGCTGAGAGATCTAACTGGCATGAGGATCTTCACTGAAATACCAGAAATTTAAATATATCAACGTCTTTTAGATCACAACATTACCTTCCAGGAGAAAGTCCATGCTATTAATAAATGAATAAAATGGCCTGAACTAAATATGGTTCAGATAGACTTTAATATAAGTTTTTTCTTATATTATAAGTTTTTTTCCTCTCACTGTCCCACTGTTTTGATAATTTATGCGATAAGGAAGTTGCCACCCCAATTAAAACATGTGTAGAACATTTGATTTGAAATTATTTATAATAAATTATATGATATCAATGATTTGCAATTAGTGATAAAGATTCTTTTTTTTTCAGATGGCAAAAGAATTTGTAAATAGTTAAGATGCAATTTTTTTATTAATAAATATTTAATTGTTGTTATTGTTGTTTTTATATGACAATCACGCATGTAGGCAAACACACCTTAAAAATCATTTTGAAGTGTTAAATATCAACGGTTCTGGTATATTAATGGCATGAATAATAAAACAGAATGTTTTTTTAGAAATTATTTTTAATGCAGGGAGAATGTTTTATTTAATTATTTTACAATGTAGAATTTTTTGTGCAATAGGAATATTAATAATTTCGGACACAGTTAAAGAAAGATATTGAATTTTTATTTTTTTGAAATTTTACAGTGACTACGAAAGGACTATAGAAGAGATTATAGAGGCAAGTCTATAGTCTAGTCTATAGTCTAGTCTATAGTCAGTCTATAGTCTAGTCTATAGTCTAGTCTATAGTCTAGTCTATAGTCTAGTCTATAGTCTAGTCTATAGTCTAGTCATAGTCTAGTCTATAGTCTAGTCTATAGTCTAGTCTATAGTCATAGTCTATAGTCTAGTCTATAGTCTAGTCTATAGTCTAGTCTATAGTCTAGTCTATAGTCTAGTCTATAGTCTAGTATATGTCTAGTCTATAGTCTAGTCTATGTCTAGTCTATAGTCTAGTATAGTCTAGTCTATAGTATAGATATAGTATAGTATATAGTCAGCTATAGTCTAGTCTATAGTCTAGTCTATAGTCTAGTCTATAGTCTAGTCTATAGTCTAGTCTATAGTCTAGTCTATAGTCTAGTCTATAGTCTAGTCTATAGTCTAGTCTATAGTCTAGTCTATAGTCTAGTCTATAGTCTAGTCTAGTAGTCTATAGTCTATCTATAGTCTAGTCTATAGTCTAGTCTATAGTCTAGTCTATAGTCTAGTCTATAGTCTAGTCTATAGTCTAGTCTATAGTCTAGTCTATAGTCTAGTCAGTCTATAGTCTAGTCTATAGTCTAGTATATAGTCTAGTCTATAGTTAGTCTATAGTCTAGTCTATGTAGTCTATAGTCTATCTATAGTCTAGTCTATAGTCTAGTCTATAGTCTAGTCTATAGTCTAGTCTATAGTCTAGTCTATAGTCTAGTCTATAGTCTAGCTAAGTCTAGTCTATAGTCTAGTCTATAGTCTAGTCTATAGTCTAGTCTATAGTCTAGTCTATAGTCTAGTCTATAGTCTAGTCTATAGTCTAGTCTATAGTCTAGCTATAGTCTGTCTATAGTCTAGTCTATAGTCTAGTCTATCGTCTAGTCTATAGTCTAGTCTATAGTCTAGTCTATAGTCTAGTCTATAGTCTAGTCTATAGTCTAGTCTATAGTCTAGTCTATAGTCTAGTCTATAGTCTAGTGTATAGTCTAGTGTATAGTCTAGTCTAGTCTATAGTCTAGTCTATAGTCTAGTGTATAGTCTAGTCTATAGTCTAGTCTATAGTCTAGTCTATAGTCTAGTCTATAGTCTAGTCTATAGTCTAGTCTATAGTCTAGTCTATAGTCTAGTCTATAGTCTAGTCTATAGTCTAGTCTATAGTCTAGTCTATAGTCTAGTCTATAGTCTAGTCTATAGTCTAGTCTATAGTCTAGTCTATAGTCTAGTCTATAGTCTAGTCTATAGTCTAGTCTATAGTCTAGTCTATAGTCTAGTCTATAGTCTAGTCTATAGTCTAGTCTATAGTCTAGTCTATAGTCTAGTCTATAGTCTAGTCTATAGTCTAGTCTATAGTCTAGTCTATAGTCTAGTCTATAGTCGAGTCTATAGTTTAGTCTATTTTTATTTACAGGATTTTTCAATTGAAAACATAACAGTGTAAATATTACAAATATTTATGTCCAAGTATGTTTCTTCAACTATTAAATCATTTTGGTTTTTTGTTATTTTTAAACAAAAAATTATGGAAAATGATGTAAACAATGAATGTTTACATTAAATATGCGAAAAACGTTTAATTTTTCCTCACACATCATTTGAATATTAATGCGCGAAAAATGAATTTACTTAATAATTCTATAGCTCGCTGTTACGTTGCTGCTGGCTCTTCATATTCTACATTATGTATTTTGATTATTAATAATATTAGCAGTATCATAAAAAAACAATAATAATAAAACAATTAAAATGTCTAAAAAGTAGAGTTTGTTGTGGTGAATAAATAAATGCTGGCAAAACATCAGAAATAATGTCATGACAACGTCAGACAGACAGACATTCAGCCAAATATAGAGTGACTGTCAAGCTAGAAACAAGACAGACTAAGTACTTACCTTTTGGTATTGTGGTGACATGATAATAATAGGTTTTAGATTTGGGCACTTTATACAAGTCGGAGACATAAAAATTGCCGGTAAAATCTTCACATGTATCGTTACGTCCTTCACAAATGCCACACTTATCTGAAAGTACAAAAATAAAATACATTAAAAGAAATTTAAGAAAAATGTTTCTTATTTTTTTTTTTTAAATTATCTTATGCAGGCGTAATTTATGTTTTATTTTTAAGTAAGAAATGCTTTCTTTTTAATGGCAAACCATTATTATTTTTTTTGTGCAAAATTTCTTTAATTTTTAATTGTTTATTTTGTTCTTTGATTTTTTGAGTGACATTGACATGTTTGTCATCGTCATCATCATCATCATATCTTGATCCTCTAAACATTTAGACATTATTATCATCATCAGCTCATGCTGTTCATCGTCATAAATCATTTGCCACAACTTTGTATGATTCATTATTTCTTTCATTTTATGTTTTTTTCTTTAACTTTTTTTGAATATACCATGTGTGAGATTTTGTGGCTTATTTTCTTCTTTTTCTTAAAAAACATTAATTTAAACATATTGTATTCACTCATTTACTCACCTAATTTTGCAATAGAATTGAGTTCGTTGTCACAGCCAGCCGGCCGGCAAATACCATTGACACATTTGTCAAAACTATCGAATGAACATGTGGTACCATCGATGACTTTCTCGGAGAGACGAAAATAGACAGCATTACCTTCAACACGACAATATAAATTGCATTTATCGTTGGATGACACTAGAAAGACATGAGGAGAAAGAAAAGTGGGAGGTACAATTTGTGTTAGATTTTAGGTTTGAATTTTTAATCACAAAGTAAGAACGATTTCACTAAATATTACTACAATTAACATTAATGGAAGTGACGACGACTTTATGGCTGACTACAGCAAGTACTACAGACTAAGGAGTACATAGGTTATTATGACAAATATTGCGACTACGAAACCGACTTTGGCACCGCCTACTATAGTCTAGTCTAGTTTTTAGTCTAATATATAGTTTATTCTTTAGAACAGTCTATAGTTTCTTCTAGTCGATAGTCTAATATATAATCAAGAGTACAATTAATTCTATAGTTTAGTCTTTATTCTAGTATTAGTCTAATATATAGTCGTGTCTATAATCTCGGCTATAGTCTAGTCTATAGTCTAATCTATAGGTTATTCTATAGTCTAGTTTAGAGTTTATTATTTAGTCAAGTCTATAATCTAGTCTATAGTCCAGTCTATAGTATAGTCTATAGTCTAGTCTATAGTCTAGTCTATAGTCTAGTCTATAGTCTAGTCTATAGTCTAGTCTATAGTCTAGTCTATAGTCTAGTCTATAGTCTAGTCTATAGTCTAGTCTATAGTCTAGTCTATAGTCTAATCTATAGTTTATTCTATAGTCTAGTTTAGAGTTTATTAGTTAGTCAAGTCTATAATCTAGTCTATAGTCTAGTCTAGTCTAGTCTAGTCTAGTCTAGTCTAGTCTATAGTCTAGTCTATAGTCTAGTCTATAGTCTAGTCTATAGTCTAGTCTATAGTCTAGTCTATAGTCTAGTCTATAGTCTAGTCTATAGTCTAGTCTATAGTCTAGTCTATAGTCTAGTCTATAGTCTAGTCTATAGTCTAGTCTATAGTCTAGTCTATAGTCTAGTCTATAGTCTAGTCTATAGTCTAGTCTATAGTCTAGTCTATAGTCTAGTCTATAGTCTAGTCTATAGTCTAGTCTATAGTCTAGTCTATAGTCTAGTCTATAGTCTAGTCTATAGTCTAGTCTATAGTCTAGTCTATAGTCTAGTCTATAGTCTAGTCTATAGTCTAGTCTATAGTCTAGTCTATAGTCTAGTCTATAGTCTAGTCTATAGTCTAGTCTATAGTCTAGTCTATAGTCTAGTCTATAGTCTAGTCTATAGTCTAGTCTATAGTCTAGTCTATAGTCTAGTCTATAGTCTAGTCTATAGTCTAGTCTATAGTCTAGTCTATAGTCTAGTCTATAGTCTAGTCTATAGTCTAGTCTATAGTCTAGTCTATAGTCTAGTCTATAGTCTAGTCTATAGTCTAGTCTATAGTCTAGTCTATAGTCTAGTCTATAGTCTAGTCTATAGTCTAGTCTATAGTCTAGTCTATAGTCTAGTCTATAGTCTAGTCTATAGTCTAGTCTATAGTCTAGTCTATAGTCTAGTCTATAGTCTAGTCTATAGTCTAGTCTATAGTCTAGTCTATAGTCTAGTCTATAGTCTAGTCTATAGTCTAGTCTATAGTCTAGTCTATAGTCTAGTCTATAGTCTAGTCTATAGTCTAGTCTATAGTCTAGTCTAGTCTAGTCTAGTCTATAGTCTAGTCTAGTCTAGTCTAGTCTAGTCTAGTCTATAGTCTAGTCTAGTCTATAGTCTAGTCTAGTCTAGTCTATAGTCTAGTCTAGTCTATAGTCTAGTCTAGTCTATAGTCTAGTCTAGTCTATAGTCTAGTCTAGTCTAGTCTAGTCTAGTAGTCTATAGTCTAGTCTATAGTCTAGTTAGTCTCTAGTCTAGTCTAGTCTAGTCTAGTCTATGTCTAGTCTAGTCTAGTCTAGGTCTATAGTCTAGTCTAGTCTATAGTCTAGTCTATAGTCTAGTTTATAGTCTAGTCTAGTCTAGGTCTAGTCTAGTCTATAGTCTAGTTATAGTCTAGTTTATAGTCTAGTCTATAGTCTAGTCTATAGTCTAGTCTATAGTCTAGTCTATAGTCTAGTTAATAGGTCTAGTCTATAGTCTAGTCTATAGTCTAGTCATAGTCTAGTCTATAGTCTAGTCTCTAGTAGTTCTAGTATTATAGTCTTAGTATTAGTTCTAGTCTCTATAGCTCTAGTCTATAGTCTAGTCTATAAGCCTAGTCTATAGTCTAGTCTAATAGGACTATTCTACTTCTAGTCTATAGTCTAGTCTATAGTCTAGGCTATGTTAGTCTATAGTCTAGTCTAGTCTATAGTCTAGTCTATAGTCTAGTCTATAGTCTAGTCTATAGTCTAGTCTATAGTCTAGTCTATAGTCTAGTCTATAGTCTAGTCTATAGTCTAGTCTATAGTCTAGTCTATAGTCTAGTCTATAGTCTAGTCTATAGTCTAGTCTATAGTCTAGTCTATAGTCTAGTCTATAGTCTAGTCTAGTCTAGTCTAGTCTAGTCTAGTCTAGTCTAGTCTAGTCTAGTCTAGTCTATTCTAGTCTAGTCTAGTCTAGTCTAGTCTAGTCTAGTCCAGTCTAGTCTAGTCTATAGTCTAGTCTAGTCTGTAGTCTGTAGTCTATAGGCTATGGTCTATAGTCTATAATCTATAGGCTACAGTCTATAGTCTATAGCCTAGTCTAGTCTAGTCTAGTCTATAGTATAGTGGGACAGTTAGATTGACAGTTTAATTGAGTATGACAATGATGGAACTGTTACAAATAACTATGACAAAGGGCTGTGATTATATTAAAGTAGCGAATACTATGATTATGATTTTTAAATGACAATGGTATAATGATGATGACGATTTCTATGAAATGACAATGTCAGTGAAAATGACAGCTGCAATCATTGTAACAAAACTGAATCAATATTATGAAGAGTCCCTTATCGCTAAAAATTTGATACTAAACTCCTTTAAAAAGAATAAAAAAGTGAAAATGTCCCAACTTACATCCATATTTAGGTATCCACTTCGTATGCGGTCCAATGCCGCCAATGCCAAAATCTCTGCCGTTCATCTGATAACACTGCTGCTCACGAGCATCCATCGAGCCGGGAGGACAATTATGTGTATTACAAGAACGATATTTCTTGCGTGCACCCGTGCAATATTTACCACCATTTTTGGGCAGGGGATTATTGCACTCCCTACGACTCTCCTGTACACCACCGCCACACGTTAAACTACACTGGCTCCAAGGACTCCAGGGTCCCCAGCCACCATTAACTAACTTACGAACATGACCTTCACGTGGCAAACATTCACCTTTTTGACACCAATAACGATTGTTGTTGCAGGGTGTACCATCGGCCCAGGGTAAATTACTGGAACGACAAGTGGCATTTGTATCGTTTGCCTTACACCACAAACGTTTGCAATCGGTTTCGATGTGACAATAGCGCGATTGATTGCCATGTATTAGCTTGCATTGATGATCGAGAGAATAGATTTCACCGGGTAGTCGGGTATTGTAGTTGCGTATGAATTTGGTGGGTGTGTCTTCGAGGCAGGTGACATCTTCTTTTCTGTGGGGCGTTAGAGATAAAGGAAATATAATTAAAAGTCATAATTTGGAAATGTCAGTCATTCAGTGTTTAACTTACTCTAAAAATTCTGAAACATAATGTCGCGAACAATCTGACCAGGACCAGGGATGTATATCATCACCCATTACACTGGACATGATATGAAGTTTTCTTTTAACTCCCGGTTTATTGAATTGTTTGCAACGATCATCATCATCATGTGGCATATTTAATCTAAGGAATGGTTAGAAGACAGGTTTAAATGAATGCGCAGAAATACAATGTTCAGATTCTAACTGGATCTTAAAAGCAGTGATGGTCAACTCAAGACGTAAAAATTTGTGTTTTTTTGAGCTGTTCGAAGAAATCTTTGCAGCATGTTCTTAAGATATAATTATATTACTTCGATGAAGATTTTTGTTCATGTATATCTATGCACGCTTACAAAGATTTTGCAAAACTGCCCATAGCTGCTTTTGATCTCTCGTATGTTAATTGTTTAGTTTTTTCTGTTTAAATACTTACATGTGACCCAATTCGTGTGCTATCGTAAAGGCTGCTGGTAAACCATTATCTTGCACTATGGAGCAGGATTTTCTTTTGCACACTGTACCTAATTCAGCTAAACCTAAAGTATCACATTTGGTTTCACGTTCTTTACGACAAATTTGATCTCTGAAAGGATAGACAGAATATTTACGATCATTTTTTCATTTGAAGATAGGTTCTCATTAAGTTGTCTATTTATTAAAAATTTTAATTGAAATTTAAATTTAAAGAAAATTACTTGATTAATTTATTTTAATGATCATTTATTTAAATTTTAGGCCATATTTATTAATATGAACTTGTTTGTTTTTGTTGTTTATTATTTTCTTGTTTAAAAATTTCATAAATCTATTGAAGGTAAACCATGTCAATATTTTTATTGCACACATGTAAGTGCTCAGTAAATCCACTCCCAATATCAATAATTTCAGCTGTTTTACTTTAAACACCTCCCTAACCCCAACACCCCACCCAAATGATTACTCACCTTGTTATTAACATTGCCGTATCATAATGATAACCATGTTTCTCCACATGCGAACAAAATTCTTTCAATGTTTGCGAGGCCGTTGCTTGGCCACTTCTTCTACGCGATCGTTTAAACTCATTCAAGACCAAAATGTTTGCAACCGAAATATAAATGGAATTACCAATACTCGCATCGGCAAATATATTCGAAACAATCGATATCAAGGTCAAAATGTACGATGTCAAATCGTCTTTATGAAATTCTTTCATTGTACGATCGACAGCAACCAACAGTTCAATGGTGAATAGATTGCGATCGTAGTCGCGTTTCTTACGATGCAATTTGGGCAAGAGACTCTGTTCGATTTCTTCTAAATCGAGTTCAAGAGCGGAGACAGCATGTCTGGCATTGCGTCTTGAGTGACGCCATATTTTGTGTAAAATCTCAGACGTTGCGGAGGTATTGAATGAATCGTATGTTTGATTATTGACCGGTTGTATAAGCAGCGAGCCGAAACTGGTCTTAATGTAACCAGTCTGTGTGTGTGTGTGTTAAGTATTACAAGAAGAAAAACAAAAATAATTTAATAATTTATTTTAATCATATTGTAAAAACATAAGTTATATGTAATTTAATAATTTATACTTATTGTGTGCATAAATTAATATTTATTAAAAAATTTCTTGAGTGTTTTTTTTATTATAGGAGTGTTTATTTGAATTAATGATTTACTACTTATTTATAAACAGTAAATCATTTATTTAGTATTATTTATGGCTACTACTTACCATGCCATGACATAGTGAGACGGCCACTGCTGATTGATCATCACCTTCCACAAAGCCTTTATAGTAACAACCTAAATAATGTCCTCCAACCGGTTCTTCCTCTTCAGTATGATTATTTAAAATGTTAATGACCTTTTTAAAGGTTTTAAGTTATAAAAAAAATATTTAAAATTTTATTATTTATTCATGTTATGTTTAGCAATATAATTTTGATTTTAAGTCCAGCCTCTTTCGGAAAAGTTTAATCCGTAATTCTTTTTTCAACACTTTATCAGAATGGTTCGATTCTGTTCTTATTCTATGTCGATGTCTTTCTATCTGCTAGATAGATTTGTATCTATAGGACGATTTGTTGAACTGTAGATAAACATCACTACTTACTCTTAATATAGGAAATGTTGGTTGGTCCAAACGGCCCATAAAACGATTTAATAAAGTTTTTGTTGAAAAAATTTGTTACTTTAAAGAAAAACTTATTTGCTAAGACAAAAGATCAATTTTGAACATTATTATAACATCTTTAAGTTCGTTATAGTTTCGGGAATTTTGATATTGAAAATCTACAAAATCGGTCCATAAATAGCTGAGATATAAGCGGTAGAATAATAGTACTATTTGGTTTATAGCAATTTTTCAAAAACTTAATAACCTTTCCATGTCTTGATTTATAAATTCTCCTCTTAATATGGATTGAAGAAGTCTCAAGAAGTTGGTCTGTCATTGAGGTCTTTATCTTTTAGTTTTTTTCTTTTTTGTTTCGGAATGCATCTTACCCTAAATGTTTTTGGTGGTATAAATGAGGTATCTTGATGTAGAACTAAATGCAATTGATGGCCAAATGCATTCAATATATACTCTGGATGAGGATCCCAGATTTGACTAGATTTACTACGAAATGTCCCCGTCACACTAAATGCGGAAAAATAATCTGTAATGAAAGTTTTTTTGGAAAGAAAATTGATTAAAATTAATAAAGCGAATATCAGCAAAGCTTATGCAGAATGCAAGCTCATGTTCCCGATTCTTTAACAGATCTTTAACAGGAACAGAAAGTACTTGGCAGCAATCTACAGAAGCTTTAAAGCAGCATTTGGTAATAAACAAAATCAGGGTTCAAATTATGACATGATAACAAATAACTAATCGCTTTCAAATTTTTATATACCCGAGGTTACCTATTTCGGTTACATCTAAGCTGATCTCTGTTAGGTTAATGAAAGCTTTAACTCGACAACAAATACTCTCCATATATGAGAGAGAAATTTTATGAAAATTGGTTCAACAGTTTAGAAACTACCATTTCCTCTTTGTAAAATTCTTTGTCCGACATTTCATCGTATTCAAAAGTCGTTATTTGGACCCTGATGTTGTTGTTGTTATGTGTTTATAATAATATTTACCATTATTGTTATTATTAGGAGTATTTAAATTTCTTTTTGATTCATATAATAAATCATCGGCATTTAAACTAAAATTATGAACTTTAATCGGTGTAACAAAATCACTGGTTAATTCTTCTGGTATACTATTATTAATATCGTCAATATCATTTTCAATATCATCTGAAAAGGAAAAGAAAACAGTTTCATATTAAAAACACTTGCTAAAGATCGTTTTTAGAATTTAAGTACAATAACGTCCCTTAAGTACGACCGTTTAACGAGCCTTAGAAAACTTAAAAAAAACTAAATCAAATCTCTTTCTTATAGTTCCTAGACAACTTACCATCTTCTATAATCCAATCATCATCGCCCTCAAATGTATGATTTGTATAAGTGGTGATTTCAGTGATGTCAAATAAACGATCATCACTATTCCCACCATAATCATGATCGTCATTAATATTTCTATTATCGCTACTACTCGTACTCGTGCTACTTGTTATTATCGGCGCTATCGCTGTTGTTGTTGTCGTCGTTGTTATTGTTGTCCAATTATGTTGAGGGCTAAGATGATGATTATTAGTTGTTTGTATGGCTGGCAACTCTGTTAGTGTATGAGATTTCGTTGAATCATTAACGGGCAGCGAGAAAAATATGATTAAACCCAAAAATATTAAAATGCAGGTGGCAAGTATTAAAAATGCGTTTTGTTTCCAATGCGTCGACATGTTGCTGCATTTATTTTTATAAAACCACCATTCACAAGTTTTCTTTAAGACGAGCTGGAATGAGAATAAAAGAGAATAAATAAATTATTAAAAAGTTACAAAGATTTGTAATTAAATATTAGTTCTAAGCTAAAACTTAATATGAATAGCTGGCAACTAACTAAGCCGCCGTCATATTTTGAAAGCTGACGGCGCTAAATCAACTTTAAACGACTTTGAAGTAGCCGCCGTATAATTTGGGAAATTGCGCAACTTTTCTTTGGTTAGATGTCAATCTTAGAATTAACAGTCATTGTCCTTAAATTAGGTCGACGTGGGTGTCTAGTCCTTAGACAGTTTTAGGTTCTATATATTAAACCTTATTTAAACAAATTATTACCTTATCATAATAAATTTTTTCCTGCATTATGTTTTTATTATTATTAAATTGTTTGTTCTACTTCACAGACTCGAATGTTTTCAAATAAAGTTTTTATAGAACTGTAACATTGTATTTATACCTCTCTCTCAGTTAATATGCAAATTGCACATTTCTTTTATGGTTTAAAATCTAAGGATTTTCCATTATCATATTAAACTCTTCACTGAGTCATCAAACTACTTATACAGATGTTGTTATATGAAATTATCAATTCATAAATTTACTCATCATTATCAATGCCTATAATATTTTTTTATTATGAAAGCAAAAGTGTTTTAAAAATATGCATTTGGTTATACTAAGACTATTTGTATAGTTTAACCCGACCTCCAGGGCTTGTTACCTCGATGAAAATCTCGCATCTTTGTGAGATTTCAATTCCGGAGTAAAAGAGGTGCTACCAGTACTTCTAGTCTGCCGGGACTAAGTAAGGGCTGGTGGTGTCAAATGTATCTTCGTCCTTTCCTTAGAATAATTTGACATGGGGTCGAACCAGAAAACATATATTATCTGGTACCACGGGAACCGGTAGCTTCGGAATTTGTCTTGTCCCGGTTATTGGAGAGGTCCCATTATTATGTATATAGTTTACACCTCTGCTTGTTACCTAGATGAAAGTTTCCCATCTTGGTGAGATTGCAATTCTGGAGTAAAATAGGTGCTATTAGTACCTTTAGTCTGTCGTAGTTATAAACTAGTATTGTCAAATGTATACTCGGCCTTTCCGTGTAGTAATTTGACCTGGGGTCGAACCAGAAAACCTTTCGTATGTGGTACCACGGTAGAGATGCGGATTTTGTCTTGTCCCAGTTATTGTAGAGGTCCCTTAAATGTATAGTTTACACCGCCCCCAGGGCATTTACTTACCTCGATGAACTTACCCCATCTTAGTGGGATTGCAATTCCGAAATAAAATAGATGTACTTCTTGTCTACCGGGACTATAAACTGGTAGTGTCAAATGTATCCTCTGTATTTCTTTGGAATAACTTGATCTAGGATCGATCCATAAAACTAGGATCGATCCATAAAGACTAGTTAAAAACTAGTATTGTCAAATATATACTCGGCCTTTCCGTGTAATAATTTTACCTGGGGTCGAACCAGAAAACCTCTCTTATGTGATACCGACAGATCTTCAGACTTTGTCTTTTCCCGGTTATTGTAGAGGTCCCTTAAATGTATTGTTTACACCTTCTCAGGGAATTCCGGAATAAAATAGGTGTACCTCTTGCCTACCGGGACTATAAACTGGTAGTGTATTCTCTGTCTTTCCTTGGAATAATTTGATCTAGGATCGATCCATAAAACCTATCTCATCTGGTACCAAGACAATCTGTAGCCGGTAGGTCTGGGTTTCGTTGTTAGAAGGGGTTACATGGGCTTACCTACCCGTATACCTATAATAAATGTTCCGGATGTTTTCGGGTCTACAGATTACGTCTTTGCGCGGATGTAAACGGAAGAGATGTTTTTTGATCTCAAGAGTTAGAAGTCTGAGATTAGAGTCAGAGATTTGATATCTCAAAATCTCTCGAGCAAAATGCGTATTCCTAGAGCATCGTAACCATATACAAAAATTGACAATTGCTTGTTCCTGCGAAACATAAAGGGGCGATGGGAAGTCGTCTCTAGCTCACCCTTAAATAGACCAAAAGCGTCTGTTCACTCGACTTCTGTATAGTTTATAGTTTAAACGTTTGTTATCTAAAGTTTAACAATGGTTTAGCTTTCTATTTTTTATAAAAATTTAAACTTTTGCTTTAAACTAAAATCGAAGATGGACTTTCTAAAATAACAGTTATTCAACCTAGAGTATTTGAAATTTAGTATAAACTTTTACTTTAAACTGAAATCGGAGACGAACTGTCTCAGATAACTGTTAGTCAATTTAAAGTATTTAACGTTTACTTTTTAAATTGTTATAAAACTTAGAAAATTTAATTCAATATTTAAAAACAAATTCAAACACTAAAAGGTCATGACATTATCATATAAAAATTACCCACTGAGCAAATAGCTTAAGGGTAATAACCAGCAAAATTGTAAAATCATTGTTAATTATTAACAGAAATATTCTTGAAATTATTAACAAATATATACGATATCATATTTCAATTTGATATATTTAAGATATTAATATCTTATTTATGGTTTATTAAGCACCTTCTCCATACAACATTCATATAATAAACCATCAATAACTTTATTAGGCGTTTATGAATACAGGGGTAAATCTTTAAAACAATAAGAAATTTCTCTTTTTAATAAAAACAAAAAAAGTTGTTAATAATTAATAAATTATGCATTTAGTTAATTTTTAATCAAAAAACCAACTCATTAATCAGTTTCAGAAGAAATAAAAATTCACATAAAATATAAAGAATATAAATAACTGGCACGAGTTGATAGATATATAGTTATTAATGAAATTCTATAAATTCTGAAATTCTATAAATTTTTAAATGACTTTCATTTTATATCAATAATTTTTTATAGAAAGTGTATTACGTCTAGTTTTGCTTTTTTATAAATTCTTGCTGATGATAAATTTTATTTAAAGATTTTCCTAGAATTAATTAATTGCTGAGTATGTGTTGTATTCCGAAAGTGGTTTTGGATTAATAAAGCCTTAATTATGAATTTCAATACAATATTTTTTTTTTTTTTTTTTGGGTGAAATTATTATTAATCACGGGTCAGTTTAATTGTTATCAAGAATACATTACTTTGTTCAGGTTAAACATAAATTTTTAATTGTTTGAAATTTAAGTGAATCATGTTTTTTATTATAACATATTTGAAACAACAAAGACAGGTTTAGAGGTTTGAAATTTATAAAATTTAAGAGTATTTAACTTTAAAGAAATTTTTTTCGAAAATTGTCTATAAAAAGAAATTTTATGGAAAATTTCTTATAAAATGAAAATTTATCGACATTTTTTCTATAAAAAGAAAATTTATGAAACATTTTCGTTTAAAACAAAATTTATCGAAAATTTTCTATAAAAGAAATTATATCAAAAATTGTTTTAAATAAAGAAAATTTAACAAAAATTTTCTACAAAAAGAAAATTTAACAAACATTTATCAATAATTTTTTATAAGAAGAAAATTTATCGAAAATTTTCTATAAAATGAAAATCTTTTATAAAAAGAAAATTTATACAACATTTTCTTTTAAAAACAAAATTTATCGAAAATTTTCTATAAAAGAAATTCTATCAAGATTTTTTTTAAATAAAGAAAATTTAACAAAAGCTTTCTATAAAAAGAAAATTTATCGAAAATTTTCTATAAATTTTTTTCTACAAAAAGAAAATTTTTATCGAAAATTTTCTTTAAAATTAAAATTAATCGAAAATTTTCTATAAAAAGAAAATTTATCGAAAATTTTCTATAAGAAGAAAATTTATCGAAAATTTTCTATAAAAAAAAAATTTATCAAAAATGTTCTATAAAAAGAAAATGTTTATCGAAAATTTTCTATAAAAAGAAAATGTTTATCGAAAATTTTCTATAAAAAGAAAATGTTTATCGAAAATTTTCTATAAAAAGAAAATTTTTATCGAAAATTTTCTATAAAAGAAAATATATCGAAAATTTTATATAAAAAAATTTATCGAAAATTATCTTTAAAATTAAAATTAATCGAAAATTATCTTTAAAATTAAAATTTATCGAAAATTATCTTTAAATTAAAATTTATCGAAAATTATCTTTAAAATTAAAATTTATCGAAAATTAATAGAAAATTGTCTATAAAAAGAAAATACATATATCGAAATTTTTCTATAAAAAGAAAATTTATCGAAAATTTTCTATAAAAAGAAAACACATATATCGAAAATTTTCCATAAAAAGAAAATATATCGAAAATTTTATATAAAAAAATTTATCGAAAATTATCTTTAAAATTAAAATTTATAGAAAATTTTCTATAAAAAGAAAATACATATATCGAAAATTTTCTATATAAAACGAAAATTTATCGAAAATTTTCTATAAAACGAAAATTTTTATCGAAAATTTCCTATAAAACGAAAATTTTTATCGAAAATTTCCTATAAAACGAAAATTTTTATCGAAAATTTCCTATAAAACGAAAATTTTTATCGAAAATTTCCTATAAAACGAAAATTTTTATCGAAAATTTCCTATAAAACGAAAATTTTTATCGAAAATTTCCTGTAAAACGAAAATTTTTATCGAAAATTTCCTATAAAACGAAAATTTTTATCGAAAATTTCCTATAAAACGAAATATTTTATCGAAAATTTTCTATAAAGGAAATTTTTATCGAAAATTTTCTATAAAAAGAAAATTTATCGAAAATTTTCTATAAAAAGAAAATTTATCGAAAATTTTCTATAAAAAGAAAATTTATCGAAAATTTTCTATAAAAAGAAAATTTATCGAAAATTTTCTATAAAAAGAAAATTTATCGAAAATTTTCTATAAAAAGAAATTTATCGAAATTTTCCATAAAAAGAAAATTTATCGAAAATTTTCTATAAAAAGAAAATTTATCGAAAATTTTCTATAAAAAGAAAAATTATGGAAAATGTTTTATAAAACAGAAAATTCATAAAAAATTTCTATGAAAAGCAAACTTATCGAAATTTTTCTAAAAA